CAAGTATTGAAGGAAGGATCACAATGTCCAATGCTTTACGCTATAAAATGAATCTATTTCTTCTGAAATATTATGCATAAACCTTGGTGCAAATGACATTGCACCAAGGAAGACTGTTTAGAAAAGACATGATAAATACTTTTATGAGACAAATAATCATTCTATAATTAAAAAACAACAACCCTTCTCAGTTTATGTATTTTGTGATTTTGAGGGTTCTCATACATTAGGTTTCCTTCAAGTGAAAGCCACTTGTCTCTCATATAGTATAAATAAATTAGCAACAGTGATTTCTAACCTAGTTGCCTTGGTTGGATTTTGAAGATCAACAGAAAACAAGTATTTGAGAAATTTCAGAAAATAAAGATTTTTGGCTTTAAATGTAAATAATACTTTTTTAAAAATTATATAAAATTTTTTACAATTTCATTTAAATTAAGGAAGAGAGCTTTGCCATTCTTGGAAGTTAAGAAAAACAAGAATATACTCTAACAAAAAAGAATGTTTCCATATAGTGTGGACTTCATGATGTGATACAAAAGTCAAGGAATTAAGCAAGGTTCGTTCTATGTATGAGAGATGCTCTACCCTTACAAGCTGCTTGTCTGTATGGGACTTATTTTTTTTTATTATAAATAAGGAACACTATTTGAATTTTCTACTTTACATGCTCACTGTAAGTCTGAAATTTCATAATGTGTATAAAGACATTCATGTTTTTCTGAAGACTAGAGTGAGGTTATCAGTTTCAGGGAACAGTATCACAGAAGTGAAGTGTCCTCACCACATTATTCCAGGGTACATGGGCTTAGCATGATTTATCTAGGAGATGTGAATGCTATGAAGGTGGTGTCTGCCAGGTTTCTCATTATTTCTATATTCTCTGAGTTACCAAGTCTAGGCAACACTCAATAGGACAGGAATTAAGTTTCACTCCCTGGGAGGTGGGTAAGGTATCTACATATATTATTTGAAATTTTTCTGTAAGAAAGATTTTCCCCTTGTCTGTTATTTATCTGTGTATTCATTCATTGATTTATATCAGTGTGAATTCATTGATATTTACTTTATGCATTTCATAATAATGTAATATGATCAGCATTTTGTTGCTCAAAGCATTTCCGCTTTGATCACATGGAACTCTTTCTGGTTGACTCCTGGGTCCTTTTGGCATGACCCAATAATTTATTTTTGGTCATTATTTCATTTTCTGATACTGAAATATGCTTCTGGCTTATCTTGTATTTTTCCTGCCCTAAATCTAGAATTAGCTATTTTTCCTGAGGGCTCTAGATCCTTATCAATTGGAGAATATTTAGAAAATAAGTCTGGGCATGAGGTTTGCTCATTGCTACTGTAGTGTTACTACTTCTAGGACCTTTCAGAAGGTAGAGCTAATAAATGTTATGTATGTATACACATGTATGCACACATATCTATCTTTATTTTTGTATCTATCTGTTTGTATACTAAAATAAAAATGAGTTCATGTTGATGTCTTCATTTCTAATCTAGCACTACAAGGTTAATTTTAGCTATTTCCTTTTGCTTATTTGTAACTTCTTTTTCTGACAATGAGTAACCTAGCTTCTATTATCAACAATTTATTTACTTACGTGTTTCATCCTAGTATATAAGTAAAATAATTTATACTCATTAACCTGTACTCCTGTGAGAAAAATGATCAACTAAAGTACAATGTCTACGTACAGTTGCTTTTTTCTTTAACATTATTATTTTTACTCTTTGTCCTGTCAAAACACTGTTTCTCAGTGTCACTTAAGCTAGATGCTTTCCCTCCCTGGCTTTCAGCGAGATTATGTCTTCCATTTATAATTTGGTTAGATTCATTTGTCATACTCTCTAGTTCATCTTGGGATATTCCAACACCTTATTTATTTTCTTATTTTAACTTTCATATTATAGAGCTCACTCTTTGTGTTGTACAGTTCTATGAGTTTTGATGAGCGCAGTCTTTTGTCTGGTACCATGGTCCCGTAAGAGTTGTTCCATCGCCCCCTAAATTCCTCATGCTATCACTTTGTAGTCAACACTCCTATAGCTCTAAGCTCTGGCAACCACTGGTCTGTTTCCTGTCTCTATGTTTTGCTTTTTCAAAAATTTCTTATATATGGAATCATACAATATTTAGTCATTTGGGTCTGCTTCTTTCACTTAGCAAAATGCATTTAAGATCCATGATACTGCATGAAGCAATAGTTGTTTCCTTTTTAAAGTTGAGTAGTATTCCATTGTATTGATATGCTACAGTTTGTTCACCAGTTGAAGAATAGTTTGGCAATTATAGGTAAAATGCTATAAATATTCACATATAGGTTTTGTGTAAAATAAATTTTAGATTCACTTAGGTAAATACCTAACAGTGGGATTGTGGGATCATAGGGTTAAGTGTATGTTAATTTTATAAGAAAACGGCATGCAGTTTTCCAGAATGGCAGTATCATTTTTCATTTCCCTTAGCAATGAATGAGAATCCCTGTCACTCTGCATGCTCACCAGCATTTGGTATTTTCAGGTTTTTTTTAAAAAAATATTCATTTTAATAGCTGTTTAATGGTACCTCTTTATGGTTTTAATTTTTCATCTCTCTTAATAACTAATAGTGTTAAAAATCCTCCCATATACTTATTGGCCATCCATACTTTTTTTTTTCTTTTTTGGTGACATTTACATCTTTAATCCATTTCTAAACTGGGATGTTTGTTTTTTTATTATTATATTTTAACAGTTCTTTATATATTCTGGATATAAATCCTTTATCAGATATATGACTTACAAGTCTGAAGCTAACATTTTCATTCTTTTAACAATGTCTTTCACAGAGCCATTTTAAAAATTTTTATTTTTTTATTTTGATACATTCATGGTAATGGGAAGGGGTATGATCTGTTAATTCCTTTAGTGTACAACAACTGAGCATGTACAGTAAAGCAACCTTAAAAATACAAAAAAAATTCAATGTGTGGTCACAGCTTGGAGATTTAGACCTTGTATATTTTATCCATAATTTCTCATAAACATGCAGTGCTATAAGACTGCATTTTAGTCAGAGGTGTAGGATTTGACATGTTTTTCTCATTGAAATTTTAAAGTTATATGCTCAGTTGGTGTGCTCTGATATCAGCCTGTAAAAGTCATTAGATTTATAGCATTAGACCAACAGTCCTCTGAAAAAGAGTTGTCCAATGTAGTAGCTACTAGCCACATGGGACTGAAGAGTACTTGAAATGTGGATAGTGTAAATTAAATTACTTTTACTTTTGATTAATTAAAATTTAAAAACTGATACTCAATTTAGTTATTGGAAAACTTTTAAGTGTATGTGGAAAAACTTGGTTTTATGAATCTATTCAAGTATAAATATTATGAAATCTAAATACATATCAAGTATATCCAATAGAAACTTAGTATCCAAATTGAGGTGTGCTGTAAGTACACACGGGATTCAGTTACTTAGTATGAAAAAAACAGCATGTAAAATGTCTCATTATTTTTTTTTACATTGATCACATGTTAAAATGACTATATTTTGATTATATAAGGCTAAATAAAATGTATCATTAAAACCCATTTTAATGATAAACCCTGTTAAATGATAAAACCCATTAAAACTCACTGCTTTACAACCACATGTAGTATATTAAATTACATTTTGTGTCAAAAGGCATTCAGTGTTCTGAAATGGCACGTGAATGACCTATCCACCACCACTTGCAATCTCCACAGCACAATCAGGCACACCTCGTTCTCCTGCCTTTGCGGAGAAGGATCAAGCCTCACTAAGTTTAAGTCCCCATGAGAGATTTTATATCCTCAGAGAATCCAGGAAGAAAAGGGCTGAGAGAATGGGGAGTAAGGCTTGAGATGGGGATTGTAGGTGTGGCAGGATCACGCGCTGTTAAGGAACAGCGTCTTCTGATGCCCTAAATGTGTTGTAAATGTTGGGAATAATGCTGAACACTGCCAGTCATGGCCCACTCCTGAGGAAAAAGGGTTTGGGCTGCTTGCTTTCCTTCCCACAGCTATGAGTTAGTACTTAGTGTTAGTATTTCTTAACTCAAAAACAAAAGCATAGTATCCCAGCCTTTCATGTCTCTCCTTACTTTTAAACAATGTGAAATTAATAGTAAAAGATTCCATTACTGAGCAAAGAACACTTTTCTTCTTTTTATTAGCTTATTAAACTACATATATATGTATATATACATTTACATATATATATATATATATATATATATACATATATATATTTATATATATAGCCAAAACATGTATACACATTTTAAGAAAGGAAAAAACTGTATTAAAGTTGTAATACAATGAATGACACTAGCATTGATTTGATTAACACCATTTGAACGAACATCATACTACACATTGCTACCGTAATTCAATTCAACTTGGAAAACTAATACATGCATCTTAAAATTTGTACATTTTTTTGGTGCCCCTGGTATGTCTGTGTGTATACACACACACACACACACACACACACACACACACACACACACAGTGTGTATACCACACACATATATGAATAATTAGTGCTATAGGTATTATCTTGCCAAAACAAAAAAATTCTTCAAAAAGATAACCACTATAGATAAAAAATTAACCTGACCTTGAAAATATACTACACATTTATGTATTTAGAAGACATTTCAAGAAACTTTAATACTTTAGCATAAAATTTTGTATGTCCAAATATTTAAATTTTTATCTAGAAAACAAAAGAGTAGTATAAAATCTTAAGGATATCAAATTTGTAGTTATAAAAAGTATAATATCATGGGTATATTATTCTATGATATTAAATCTAAATTTGCAGAACATCTCTTCAGATAAATAACCCTCTAAAACTATCCTATATTTTGGATAGTTTTAGCTTATAATTTTCTGAAACAATCTAAGTTATAAGTTCTAATTGAACACATTTCTCTCACAATCAAGCTAGCTTGGGAAAGTAAATATATACTTACAATACAGAGAACATATCATGGGAAGCACGTCGACAATTGTTAAGCTATTCCGCTGTATTATAAAATTCTTGGATTATTGCATTATAAACCTGTTCGGAAAGAGAGGAAAAAATTATGTTAAGTAAATATGCTGGGTATACTATATAGGTGGTAAAATAACCAAAAGGAAGCTAAAAGAAATCACACATCTTACAAACATATATATTATTTTGTCCTTTATATAATTATACTAATTTATGATTAATTTTAATTTTTAAGAAAATGCTATTAAAATCACTTGTCATTAGAGTATATAATAAAATACATATTATTTAAAAGAATGAGTGTTATAATTGAAACTTTAAAGAAGTAAGCATAAGTTATCATGTTAACTAATATATTTCATGGTCTCTATGTTTTGTGTTCCACTTACAGAATAAATCGAGTCCATAGCACAAAAAAACAAAATATAAAACAAAAAGTTACTAAATCACCAGGGTGCTTATAATGATCTGAATTAAGAAAATAAAGACCAAATAATTAGATGACTTGTCTAAATATCTTTAATTTTTATGTTGATGTATGTTTGAGTGTTTGTGCCCCCCATCCCCACCTCCAATTCATATGTGGCATCCTAAAACCCAAGATGATGGTTTTGGGAGGTGGGGCCTTTAGGAGGTGATTAAGACATGAGAGGGGAGCCCTCATAAGTGGGATTATTGCCTTTATAAAGGAGGACCCAGAGAGTTCTCTCCCACCTTCCACAATGTGAGGATAGTGTAAAGATACTTTCTATGAACCAGGAAGCCCTAACCAAACACCCAATCTGTAAGCATAATGATCCTGGACTTCCCAGCCTCCAGAGCTGTGAGAAATATATGTCTGTTGTTTGTAAGCCACCCTGAGGTATTTGGTTATAACAGCCCAGATGGACTAAGACAGTTATCCACATACATGACTGGGTATAAATAAAGGAAATGATTTCAAACATTATTGAATCATTTATTCTATAATGAATTAAGATTAGATTTAATGTAAAGTGGGAAAATGACCCACTGTCATTAGTTACCCCAACCAAGAGAAAATTATCTTGATAGAGTAATTTAAAGGGCAGGTTTAGTTTTCTCTTTAAGGTAATGCCTCCCAAAACTGTGTTCTATGGATATATTCCCCGTCAAAACAAAGATGTCTTTTTGCTATAGAAAATACCCAATAAGCTTCTCATACTTAGTGTACTGAAAGTGGTGGTTAGGTATCCTGTACTCAACACACACACACACACACACACACACACACACACACACACACACTCACATGCATACACCCCATATCTCTTTTTCCCATTTTGCCTCCCCAACACCTAACTTCTTTTTTTCTTCCTGAAGTTAGATTTTAAAGCAAATTCAGTCTGATTTCTTTCTGGATTTACACATCGCCTTGGCTTATGCTTAATAGAAAGTAATTTAATTTTCCCTCTAACTTAGTACTTTCTCTCTTTATTTATACTTCAACATTGTATTGAAGCACATTTGAAGATAATCAAAATGTGGAAAATAGATGTAGCATTTCTGTCTTGTCTTTAAAACCCAATTTTACCTAATCTTTTCTCAAAGGTAAAACATATCAAACATAGTAGATGAATAACATGTCTATATTTTGTATCAGCTGTTGAATGTCTTTTAGGTATTTGTGATTGTCATTTACTCATCACAGCAATACTGTAAGGTGGGTTTTATTATCCCCATTTTACAAGGTTATGATCATTCAAACAACTACTCAATATGTGAAGTTGGAAGGTATTTAGCTTGGGTTAATTCAGACCTAACTTCAAAGTGTCTACTCAAAAAAGTCTTCACTTGCGCACTTCCTTGGACTGTTTGTAAGATAATTCTGCCTAGATATTTACACTCAATACTATTTGTGTCCCCGATTTGAAAAAAAAGTAATGAAATATTTTAAGATAGGTAAGATTCCCATTTGAGGGTGAAAAGGATAACTATTGCATTGTTCTGTACACCTGAAAGTAACAATAAAATTTATATAAAAAAAAGATTCCCATTTGAAACTGTATATATCTTGTGCTTATAGTTGTTAAGGGAGTAAAACTACAGACACAATTATTGCATATAACATGTGTAATGTATTGGTTATAAATATTAACAGAAAAGATCAATATATTAATATTTTATATTATTAAAAATAGAAAAGGGGCATTTATACTTATCTCAATTGATTCCAGACCATTACGGCGCTTGAGTATCTGTTAATTTTTTAAAAATAATATTCTAAGCATCAAATGTCATTCTTGCTCTGTTTTACCATAATCTGATTTGATGTTTTTAAAATATTCTTCACTGGAAAGTCAGAAAATCAAAAATTTAGAATCCTATGTAGGATGAGAGCAAATAATGAAGGCCAACAAGTAGCCTGCATTCTGTTACATATTTGGCAATTTAGACTTGTGTGTGTGTGTGTGTGTGTGTGTGTGTGTGTGTGTATTTCCTAAATCATGGCTATGATTTAATGGCTCAGCATGAAGCATAAATAACACTCGAGTTATAGAGTTACTGTCATATTGTTATTATTTTTGTTGATAAAGGGTTATCTGAATATAGTTATTATCTCTTTCTTTTTTGTATTACATGTAGGGAAACAATCATTCTCTTCCATTACCTACATTTGTGTCTAACCCAGTCAAATGACAATAACACATTTTTCTCTTTTGATTTTCTATATACTTGTCTTTCCCCTGGAGCAGTCAAGGTGTCTGTGCAACATGAGGTAGGTGAGCACAAGACACGCAGCCTCTGCCATCCATTTTGATAGATGGTTTAAAGCCATTCAGCTTTGAGAAAAAGGGATTTCTAAATTCCTTTAGTTCCCTCTTAAGTATAAAGTCCAAGCTTGGTGGATTTATCTGTTATTTAGATGCTTTGACAAGACCTTGAGAATTCGTAACTTAAGCATAAAACATTATGATTCACTAACTGTTTTTACTTTGCATCATGAGGTTTATCAGAAAGCATAAATGACCAGGTTTTCATGGAATTTTATACAACGGAGTTTCAAATCATGTAGAAAGCAGTAGGAAGAAGCCTTCTTTGTCTGTTCTCATGAGAAAGAGCAGAGAGATGGGGAGAGAAAGGACCACAGTGGAAGAGGAAAGCAGCTATCACAGCTCTAGTTTTCTCCTCTCAGCCTCTTGAGGCCAAACATTTGGCCAGAGTGGCTTTAGAAGTTCCTCATTAAGTTGCTGGAATTCTCAGGGTTTTGCCTATGATTTGGGGAAGGGATTATTGCGCCGAGAAATCCCATTGCCAACACATGGTGACCTAGGAGTGTCATAAGGGTCCCCTGGTACAAATAAGCCCCGTCTGCAATCGCAAGTCTCCCCCTGGGTACGGTGAGGCATGGATAACGAGCTAAGAAACAGAGCCTCCTGGAAGCAAAATGGCTCAGCTACAGAGGTCTGTGAGGTTTTCAGTTTTAACCCAGTGCCAGAAGAGGGAAGTAGCAACGGATGTAACAGCAGAGACTTTAATGGGCCTGAATGCCAAGATCCAGGGCAGACTGATTCGCAGGGCCATTAAGCAGAGACAGAGCTGAAGAAAGAACTGACTGTGCGAGTTTTTAGCAGCAGTGACTCACAAAAACAGAACCGGGTGGTCTCCTGGAATGGAGGTAGTCAGGGAAGGTAGGCTTCAAGAAAGATGCCTTGTGTGAGCTGAAGATAAGGACTACACATTGCAAGAAGAGTGGGCACTAGGTGCAAAAGCCCGGAAGGAACAAGCATATTCAAGGAGGAAAAACCCCCACAGATTGCATAGGGATCCAGGATGCAGTGATGGTAGTAGGGTGGGGAGGGAGGTAGACAAGCAGGCATGGGTCAGGTCATATTGGGTTTCCTAGGCCATTGTAAGGAGTTTAGACTTTATCCATGATACAATGGAGATAGTAGGGTTTTGTCTGGATAACTGATTCAAATTTTAAAGGATCACGTCAGTTGTTCTGTGCATAGTAGAGAGACAAACCTGGAAGCAGCAGCCAATCTGAAGGTCACTGCAGTCGTTGAGTTGTGGTACGATGCGGGGGTGTGTGTGTGGGGGAGTTTGGTGGCAGTAATAATGGAGAGAAATGTTTGGATTTGTGATATATTTGAATGAAGTATAAAATCCTATTCATTCATTTTACCAACAAATGCATTTTTGAGCCATCATTATAGGGTAGGTTATTTTTTTATTTAGTAACAGATCAATTTGAAATAAAATTACACAGGCTTTTATGTAGAATACTTTAGTTGATTTGGGTAAAAGTCACAAAAGGGGAAAATTTAGAGACATACTTATTTTTTCTAATTGTTTTTTAATTATTGTTGAAACAACTGATTAAAGATAGTATAAATGGTTCAGAAAAAAACCCACTATATGATATTTATAAATGGAAGAAAAAGGAAATAGACACATGGGTCATTACTTATAAAGAAGAAAACTTTATAGGACTCTGAACGATGCTGTTAGAAACATCTCTGCTATATTAAAAACTGAATTCCATTAGCAAGAGCAAGTTTTTTAATTCAATTCACCAGATGTGATTAAAGGACACTGGATTTTGAACAAATAAAGACAATTACTTTATGCAGTTTATAGTAATAAATGAGATTTGCTGCCAGAAGAGGTCATTGAGCTAATTCCTGTGGTTGTATTTTAAACAGAATTTTATGACTTCAGGATTACTACAGCGGGGCTTTAAGCCTTCTTTATCAACATGCATTTTCCTAAATGTGTTCTATATAACAGCTGCTAGGTGCTCTGGCTAAAAGGGTGACTAAAACACTCTCCTGCCCTTGAAGGGTTCATAGTCCAAAAGAGGAAGACAAGAAAGAAAAATGAAGAAATTTATCCCAAATGTCTGGCTGGGGGCACAAATATAGCAGCATTCAATTTTGCGTGGCTAAAGCTTAATAGAAAATAGGTTGGGTAAGGGGGAATGTTGAATGACAAGTAGGCAGTACAGTATGAGCAAAGATAAGGAAGACAGAGATAAAACAGTTTGGGACTAAAAAGTAATCTGGCTTTAGTGGAGCAAAGAGCTATGCAGTGTGATGAGCATG